ACATAGACAGACAGACAGACAGACAGACAGACAGACAGACAGATAGATAGATAGATAGATAGATAGATAGATAGATAGATAGATAGATAGATAGATAGATAGATGAAAGTTGGATACAAAATATCACATAAAGGCTTGTTTGCTTTGCAAAACCGAATCAAAAGCAGTTTAATCAACTTGTGCTTCCCACAATCTCCGTCAACACGCAACAAACTCAAGAAGGCTGTAAAAAAAAAAAAAAAGGTATGTCGCATCCTGACTTCGTTTGTTCAGTGAGCGTTGCCCCATTTTACAAGCTGTTTTGCCACCGTTCTGAAGTGAATCGCTATAATGGTTAAGTTAATAAGCCATTTTTTAAAGTGAATTTGGCTTCTCCATTGACTTTGCTGGTCAGAAGGTCGTAAAAAGGAGATCAGGTGAGCCCCGGGACGCTGCGACCGTCATAAAGATGAGCCAGTTGCCAAGCGACTGAATTTTGATCACGTGACCGCGGGGAGGCTGCGACGGTCGTAAGTGTCCCGATTCACTTTTGTCCCGTGCCATTGTAACTTTGAATGGTCCCTAAATGAACTGATGTAAGTTGAGGCCTGGCTATATGGTCACTGTAACCCCAGATGACCCAGCACTGATCCTTCTTAGCAGCCCTCAAGCAACCTGGACAGAGAAAACTGAAGCATGCCCTATTACAAAGTCAGTTACGTAAATAGCAATTACTCTATTATACATAACTATGCTAACAATGTTCACTTCGGAGTTCTCTAGTCATTAACCAAGCACCTGGAAGGATTCCCCAGCCTTTGATGGGAAGGCTTTAATGAATCACAACATATTTTTCCAACTTTAATCCCAAAGGACATTCCCCTCAACTGTGCAGGGGTTGGTGTGCATGCAAGTGTGTGTGTGTGTGTGAGAGAGAGAGATTGTTTTCAGCAGCTACAAACACAAAGCTGGATCTTCTCTTTAAGAGTAGTTATCAACCTTCTCATCCATTACACTGTCACTCCAGAGAATGTTGCATCCCATTTCGAGAGAGGTTGTGGGTCTGTTTGCAGTCGCCCAATTTGCAGGACATAGCGACAGAGTGCAAAAATCCAAATCCATGACCTCGAACACATCCTGCCTCCATTTTTTGTGGGGTGCCCCAGTTGTATTTCTCCAAGCTTTAGGAATTCCATAGTAACCATCATTTTAAGATGGACGGACTTCCACTCCCAGAATACAGAATATTCCAGCTAGCCTACTGGCCTACAGAATGACTGACACTTCTCTGCATTCCTCTGTTTTTAAAATTCAGTCTAACCCCCTATGGCCTTCCTGTCATTGCTAGATTAAAATCCCATCATCCTGGACCATTAGCCATGGGCAAAACCTAGTCTGGGCTCAACACCTTGAGAAAAACATTATAGATTCACTGTCTCTACTTTACAGAGGTAAAGTACTCAGAAGCAAAATTTATTCTCCTCCCAAAAATTCCATCTTTCCTTTTGTTCACGGATCCTTTCTGCAACCTAAAATCAGCTTTAGGTTTTTCTGCCTTTTAATAAATTGTAAGGGTTGAGAAAAGATGTTACCAGCCTCTTCCCAATTCTGACTACTGTACTGTCTCCTCCTACCATTTTGTTATCCTTCCAGTGTCTTCCTCCTTCGCTAAGAAATTGCCTTACTATAAACAGCAGCTGAGAAATCTCGGGAGCTGCAAGATTAATAATGACTGTAAACCTGACCAAGGAAAGAGATCTAGGAACTTCAGAGGGAAGCAGATTTTGTCTCTGCCAGACTTTTTTTTTTTTTTTGGAAAACAACCTCATGTTGATATTCATCACCCAAGACAACAAGGACAGGTGTCAGCTCCTTGTTGAGTCTTGCACCTGAACTGTGCTGATAGAATTTTGCCACCACCCAATTTATTTTATTTTTTTACAAAAAAACCTCCTCCAATTTCATCCACAATGTTGAAAATCCCTGAGACTGCTCTGAAGCTGATCAATACGTTCAGCTCAACTCTTTAGTATATAAAGCCATTACTGCTATATATAAACATAGGAGCAAACACCACTCCCGTCTAGCACTGATGATGTTATCTAACTTGGTAATGAAACGTCTGCAAGAAAACCACCAAGTCCAGAGAGCACTGAGGATCCCACAATCTTCCTCGCCCTCTTCTTCCCTTTTCCTTCTCCTCCACTGTGCAAACCCTCCCCCTCCTTCCAGCACTGATGACGTTACCTAGGTTGGTAATGAAACATCTGCAAGCTCAGAGACCACGAAGGAGCCCCCCACAGCTCAGTTCTGTCTACTTCTGGATTAATTTTGCACCGATGTCCAACGCTTCCCTCTTCTTTATGCTGTTGCACCATTTTGGGGGGGCTCAGAGGCCATTGACTCCATCCCACTTCCAAGAAAGTGAAGAAACAAGCTTGCACTTTAAGAGGGCAACTTTGGCCAGCTTTTACTCTGCTCATCCTGGTTTGCAACAGTTACCTGGGCAAGGATGCCAAATCAAAGCATGAACCCCCCCACCCACCCATCCCTGCTGAAGTTGACACCTGACTCATGCTAAAACCTGTCCTACTCAGAGATGCTTTAGGGATGCACTTCCATCGCCTGTGATAACAGCAGAAACACCCATTTGCACCTTGGTGTCATCCCCACCTTGCTGCCGAGAGAAAGACTTAGCAAAAAGAAAGGCAACCGTGCAAAAAATAATAATAATCTCCCTACATCGCCTCTTTGACATCAGTGCACAAATTTGCGAGGAGGAATCTGGGCAGTGGGTTAAACCCTAATACATTTCTCAGTTCTTTAAAGCCAAAATTAATTCTCCTTCCAATTGTGCAGGGGTCTTCCAACTTGGCCCTTTTATGAGTTGTGGACTCATGTGTGCCTGGCTGAGGAATTCTGGGAGTTGAAGTCCACAAGTCATAAAAGGGCCAAGTTGGAAGACCCCTGCAATTGTGGGTCACACCTAGCAATGTAATTGAACACTGGACTGTGCTGAAATGGACAGACATACATTGAGGATCAAAGAAAAAGAAAACACAGAATATTTTCAAATATGGAACTTATTTTATCAATGGCTGGAAAAACAGGACAGAGAGCAAGAACTTAACTTGTATTACTAAGCAAAACAAATCAACCCAGACCAGACGTTGTTCGTTAAGCACTAATGAATTGTAAGAATAGAAAAATCAATAAAATATTTTTTTAAAAAGAAAGAAAAAGACCCTGGCTTGATCACAGCTAATCTGCAGGATCACTGTTCCAGAAGTTCTCTAAAAATATCAGGGATTCTTCCCCCAAAAGACAAACTTTTTGCAGTGAATGTCAAGCCAACCTGTCTGATATTTCCAGCCTTGCCAAAGGATATTATGGCACCCAGTTAATGTGGACTGGATTGATCAGGACAGCGATTGGAGCGGCTTTCTTTCCAACCAGGTATGCAGCACCTGGAACTCCCACAGCCACCCAGTTGGGAAAAAAAAAAACTTCAGGTAGACAACACAACCTGGGATCCAACCGGGAAATGGAATGCAGCGTCCCACGCACACCCACAAAAAGATGAATTTCATCCTGCAGGATTTTTATTCTCTCCAAGGATGATAGGCAACCTGTTTTGTTTTGTTTTGTTTCGTCAAGGGCCCCGACAACGTGTGGGTAATAACAGCCCCAGATCCCAACGATGAACAACAATGACCAACCGCCGGGTCATCCGAGGTAACTCTCATAAGCCAGCCACGCCACGCGGGTGACGTCAGAGCATCACGCACCGATGCTGAGCACTCCGGCAACCTGCTGAACCGCAGGGGAGAAACTCAGACTCCGGTTCAGTCAGCCCGGCGTGCAACATGGGAGGCGCTCAAACCCCCCCCCCCCCCAGAAAACGGCTTCATGCTCGAACGAAGAGGAAAGGGCAGCCCCGGAGGCGCACACCCCCCCCTCCCCTCTCTCCCCTCTCCTTTCCCTCTGCAACCCTGCAAAGAGGCCAGCCAAGCACCCGCGTTTTGCCTGGCAGCCCGGGCGCTTTCCTTCCAACCCCGTGCCAGCCCTTTGCAAGGCTGCGCTGCACGCTTCACACGACCGTCGGACGCCTCCCCCCCAAATGCAGGCCCCGCAGGTGCCTCCAAAGGAGCCGGGATCCAGGTCTCGTGGTTGTTTGTCTTCGCTCGCGGTGGGTTTAGAGTCCAGAAGGATGCTATCCATCTATCCATTCATCTAAATATCTGTCTATCTAGTATATCTGTCTATCATCCATCTGTCTGTCTGTCTATTATCTGTCTGTGTCTATCATCTATCTCTCTGTATTTCTTTCTATCTATCTATCTATCTATCTATCTATCTATCTATCTATCTATCTATCTATCTATCTATCTATCTATCATCCATCTTAATATGTCTATTATATCTACCTGTCTATCTACCTGTCTGTCTACCTGTCTTTCTGTGTCCGTCAGTCCGTCCATCCGTCCATCCATCCATCTATCTATCATCCATCTTAATATCTCTCTATCTATTATATCTACCTGTCTATCTACCTGTCTGTCTACCTGTCTACCTGTCTACCTGTCTGTCTGTCTGCCTGCCTGCCTGCCTGCCTGCCTGCCTGCCTATCTATCTATCTATCTATCTATCTATCTATCTATCTATCTATCTATCTATCTATCTATCTATCGCTTTTTTTCTAAAAAAAAAAAAAAAAAGGTGCCGGAACTCACACACATCATACAACCCGCCTTGCTTACCCTACAAAGTTCCATCCAAAAAAGGTACCGGAACTCCGTTCTGGGCGTTCTATAGAAAAAAAAGCCCTCTATCTATCTATCTATCTATCTATCTATCTATCTATCTATCTATCTATCTATCTATCTATCTATCTATCTATCTATCTATCTATCTATCTATCTATCTATCTATCTATCTATCTATCTATCTATCTATCTATCTATCTATCTATCTATCTATCTATCTATCTATCTATCGTCACATTCACATTCCCCCCTTACCTTTGGGCAGGGACATGGTTGCGTCGTGGCTCAGATCCGACCCGGCAGGCAGGTGAGACGGCCGCAGGTATCCAAGCGCCCCGGAGCGCAGCCGCGAGGCATGTCCAGGCGCTCCCGGCGACAGGTGCGCGCAACCCACCAGCGCGATCTGAGCCCACGAAAGGAACCCCGCACGGCTAAAAGCCTTCGCCCCGCCCAGCTTTCCCCCCATTGGCTCACCTCTCTCTCAAGGGGCGGGGTCCCGGCCCTGCCCCGCCTCCTGCCCAGGTCCCGAGACTTTTTGCCCAGGTGACCTTGGAGGAAATTCCAGCCGCCTTGTTGTTCCTCTGCAGGGCGGGGAGCCCGTGACATGCCTGGCAGGATGCACCCAGCCTGGGGCTGTCCCTGGGCTGCCAACCAGGCTGGCGCACGAGCTCCTGGCCCCAGCTCCTGCAGGCAGCTGAGCTGCCCTGGGCATCATCGTGGTCTGATGCCCAAACCAGCATTGGCTGACTTTGCATTGTCTACTGGGTGAGGAATCCTGGTTTACCTGGGCATCTCTGCCCTGCCAATGAGCCTTTGGCACCCATTTCCGGTGCCCTCCCGTTGAGACCCCTCCCCCTTGCATCATCACGAACTGGGGAACAAACCAGCATTGGTTGACTTGGTATCGCGTACTGGGAGGGGGAATCTTGATTTCACCAGAGTCCTCCAGTTGGGCACTTCTGCCAATGAGTCTTTGGCACCTGGGTCAGTGCCCACCGACTGAGATGCCCTTTGCATCGTCATTGGCTGATTTTGCATCGTGCACAGGAGAAGAATCCTGGTTAATCAGACTCCTCCAGTTTGACACTGCCCCCCCCCCGCCAATGTGCCTCTGGCACCCTTTTCTGGCTGAGTGTTCTGGCTGAGTTAGGGGTTCCTGTCCTACCACCTCTTCAGATGGGCTTTGGGGGGGAGAATCAACCATTGCAGTATTTCCCAATCTTGGCAACTTTTAAGCCTCTGGACTTCAACTCCCAGAATTCCCTGTCCTCCATGACTTAAAAGTTGCCAAGGTTCATGGTTGATCAAGGCACCTTTGCTTAGGTGCATGCAGCAGGCTGCCCCCCCCCCCCATTTGTGGCTTGCTGGGCGACCCGCTTGCTGGCTTTCAACTGAGAAATACGTTCTCTGGCTGTTGTGTTGATTTTGTGAGGGGTGGGTGTGGCGGACCAAGGCACGTGCCCTCACTCCAATAACGAGAAATGTCTATTTAGTTTCACGTTGCTATGTGAAATTCAAAACTCAACAACAGGCAAAGAATTTGGAGTATTACTCAGCTCACCACACCCAGCTACTGTTTTGTGAACGTTCGCCGATGATTACAACGACCTGCAACTCTTAAGCTGAATTTCCCACTGATCTGGTCTCTAATCCCTCTTCTTCCTCTTAAACCGTTTCCTGCCCTGATCCTCTCTTTAAACTGGATCACTTCTTTGTCCAGTGCCGGACTGGGTGATTTTTTTCCAGGTTGGGGGGGGAACCCCTTTCTCTTCATGGAAAACCCCTTTCCTGGTTGTTGCAGGTGAAATGCAAGGCTGCAAATGCCATTAGCATGACTGAATGGGGACAGGTGCCTGCTTAGCGACCGGTCAATGACAACAATGAACATTGTTTCACATTTACGACCATTGTCGTGTCCCTGAGGTCATGGGATCAAAATTCAGACGCTTGGCAAACTGATTCATATTTATGACGGTTGCAGTGTCTGGGGTGTGTGTCAAGGGATCCTCTTTTGTGACCTTCTGACAAGCAAAGTCAACGGGGGAAGCCCAGATTCACTGAACAACGTTGTGACTAACTTAACAACTGCAGGGATTCACTTCACCAATGTGCCAAGAAAGGCCGTACAATGGGACAAAACTCATTTAACCAATGACTCACTTAGCGTCAGAAATTTTGGGCTTCATTGTGGTCATGAGTTGAGAACACACACACACACAAATTCAGAGAAGAGCAATTAAGGTCATCAAAGGCCTGGAGGCTCAAACATACAAAGAAGGGTTGTGGGACTTGGGTCTGGCTAGCCTAAAGAAAAAAGAAATAGAGGAGACATGATAGCAGCATTCCAGTATCTGAGGCAGAAGGGGTCAGGTTGTTCACCAAAGCACCAGAGGGAAGGACGAGAAAAAACGGTTGGAAACTGATCAAGGAGAGAAGCAACCTGGAATTAAGGAGAAACTTCCTGACAATGAGGACAATCAACCAGTGGAACAGCTTGCCACCAGAAATCGTGGGTGGTCCATCACTGGAGATTTTTAAGAAGAGACTGGACAGTCACTTGTCTGAGATGGTAACAGGACAGGTTCTCCTGCTTGAGCAGGGGGCTGGACTAGAAGACCTCCAAGGTCCCTTCCAGCTCCATTCCACTATTCTATTCTATTCTATTCTATTCTATTCTATTCTATTCTATTCTATTCTATTCTTCTACACACACACACATACACATATATATTTGTGTGTGTGTGTGTGTGTGTGTTGAGTGGGTTTTTTTATGCACCCTGTCGGCCCAAATATGGGAGGAAGAAATCTTTTTTTATTATTATTATTTTTAATTTTTAATTTTTTTAATTAGCTCGAAATAGCTATCCCAGTCCCCCTTTAACCCTTTGTTAGCAATCCCCCCCAAAAATTAGTGCATGCAGACACACACACACACACACAAATATACCCATACTTCTACATATAAAATAAATCAACACACAAAGCAAGCAGGAAAGTCCTTAAAAACTGCCAGAGTCTTCGCCATCATGGCATAATGGTGACGTCAATGGTCCCAATCTCCCCCCCCAATATTTTCTCCCCTTGACCTCTAGTTATCAAAATGCAAACAGGAAACAGGCGGAACTTGCAAGCAAAGTCTTCCCGCTCGCAGAATCGGCAAGCTGAATTTACCTGAAGTTGCTGCACAGTCATGGCAAAACCTGGACATCCAGCAACAGAAATTATGCAAATGTCAAACCAAATGACGACGCAGACACGAAGGAAACCTCAGATTTCTAGCTAAGATAAATTTCAAGGAAGGTCCTGAATCGTGCAGAGCCCACTTCGGCTGAATGCAGAGTCGGTGTGCAAAATGAAGATAATAGTAATAATAATAATAATAATAATAATAATAATAATAATAATAATAATAATAATAATAATAATAATAATAATAATAATAATAATAATAATAATAATAATTAGTAGTAGTAGTAGTAGTAGTAGTAGTAGTAGTCGGAAGGGACCGTGGAGGTCATCTAGTCCAACCCCCTGCTCAGGCAGGAAACCCTATACCATTTTGGACAAATGGCTGTCCAGTCTCTTCTTCAAAACTTCCACTGTTGGAGCATTCACCGCTTCTGGAGGCAGGTGGTTCCACTGGTTAATTGTTCTCACTGTCAGTAAATTTCTCCAGATCCGGTTTTCATGCTTTGATTGAAGTCATCCTGTTTGCAAACCAAGGATGTGATGCCTGGGGTTTTATTTTATGTTATTCTATTTTCTTTCTTTCTTTACTCAATTGATACACCACCGATCTCATTATCCGGGCAGACTCTGTTAGTGCTTGAGGTCCTTGAAAAGTTTTCACCAAGTTGCCCTTCTTAATATGACAATAAGGGGACGCTCTCAAATCCGTGACGGAGAATTCCTCCTAAGAATAAATAATTTTAATGAACAGGATCCAATTAAAAGGAGATAATGTCTTGGCCAGTGTTGGCTGCACAAATCACCGTTGTTGTTCTTCTCTGCACTCTTTCTAGAGTCTCAACATTTTTTTTTTTATATCATGGTGACCAAACACGGACACAGTATTCCAGGACACGATTGCCTTCTCCAACCCTGAAGGAGTTGCATAAACCCAACGACGATGATCTGTAAAACCCAATACAGGGTTTGTGCACGCACCCTTCCCAGCCGATGGTTGCTTAGCGATTCAACCTCTGTGAGCAAACCCAGCCTTAATCAGCTCCACAGATGTGGCTTCCTTATCAGGGTGGATTGCATGGAATGAGGAAAAGGAAGGGGGGGGGGGAAGGAGGAAATAAATAAATAAATCAGGAGCCGGTGTGAATCTGGGACTGGAAAGCTCAAGAGGGAGGCTGGTAGAGTAGCTCACTGCAACAACAAGGAAGGAAGAAGGAAAAAAAAGAGGAAAAGCAGGAGAAATTCTCCTATAACCCATCGGTGTCGCCAACGGTATACCTGGAGGTTAAAACATATAAGGAACGGTTGCTGGAATTGGGCATGTCTAGTTTAATGAAGAGAAGGACAAGGAGGGACATGATAGCAGTATTCCAATATCTAGGGGCTGCCCTAAAGAAGAGGGAGTCAAGCTATTCTCCAAAGCGCCTGAAGGCAGGACAAGAAGCAACGGATGGAAACTAATCAAGGAGAGAAGCAACCTAGAACTAAGGAGAAACTTCCTGACAGTTAGAACAATTAACCAGTGGAACAACCTGCCTCCAGAAGCGGTGAATGCTCCAACACTGGAAAGTTTTTAAGAAGAGACTGGACAGCCATTTGTCTAAAATGGTATAGGGTTTCCTGCCTGAGCAGGGGGTGGGACTAGATGACCTCCAAGATACCTTCCAACTGTATTATTATTATTATTACTATTACTATTATTATTTCTGTTGTTATTATTGTTATTATTATTCCCAGGAAGCCTGCTGAGATGGCTGAAGGCCTCCAGAGGAGAAGGGGGCTGTTGGCCAAAGAAATGAAGCCAGCATTCACTCAAGTTTAATTTTTGGGTGGCAGTGGGGAGGGGGGAGAAATTCTCATAACTGGGCTTTGCAGCAGGATGTAGTGGTGAGAGAAACTTCCGCGACCTGCTGCAGTTTGTAAAAAAAAAAAAACTCCCTTGGCTGAAACTGCTCTTTGTCTCGGAGGGAATCCCCGTCTTCTCTGAAAAGCAGGGAGATTTAATCACCACCACTTCACAGTTGCGTTGACCCCACCTTGATGGGAAGACGGCTTAAGGGCTGGCTGAGCGTCAAGAGTCGCAGTAACGGGGCTTGGCTCGTTTGGGGCTGCTCGATTCAATCAGGATGGGTGTGGGGCTGATGGTGGAGGGTGATTCCGGCAAACTGGGCTGGTTTGGTTAAGAAACTGGGCTGGCTGGGGAGGTCTAGGGGTTCCCCCCCACACACACACCTTCAAGTTTGCCAAGGTTGAGAAGCACTGGTTTAGAGCAACATATGGACTCAGCCAGTTGTAACTTGCTCAACAAAGCACGATTTTAACGATGGGTAGACTTAAAGAGTCAGCATGCAAGCCTATCTATCTATCTATCTATCTATCTATCTATCTATCTATCTATCTATCTATCTATCTATCTATCTATCTATCTATCTATCTATCTATCATTTATATGGATTTAGGATTTAGGATTTATTTCATTTATACCCCGCCCTTCTCCCGGAGGACTCAGGGCGGCTTACAGCCAGTTAAAACAATTACACAAAATACAAATCTAAGATAAATTAAAAATAAATATTCGAATCGGCTGCACTACTAAAATTTAATTAAAACCAATTTAAAATTACCCCTAGGCCATTATCATCTATAATCTCATTTATCTATCTCTTTACCTATCCATCATCTATCTATATCACCTATCACCTACCTACCTATCTAGCTATCATTTATATCCTATCATCTCATTTATCTCTTTATCTATCCATCATCTATATCATCTATATGTAGCTATCATGTATCTATATCACCTATCTCTCTATCTCTATCTGTATCTC